TGTTCTCACTAGACATTTGCAAGACGTTGTACCCTGACTTTCGTTTGAGCAGATCTAAAACTAAATATATGGAGTGTAATTTTAGTAATAATAGATCTAGTGGAGAGATTGTGAGCTTGGGCGATCAAGTCATTAATAAGAGCACACGTTTTAGATATATTTGGTCTATTTTTCAGAGTGATGGTGAAATAGATGGAGATATTATTAGTAGAATTCAAGTTAGATGGTTGAAGTGGAGGAATGCATAAGGCTTGTTATATGATAGAAAATTCCCTCTCAAATTAAGGGAAAATTCTATAAAATGGTAGTGAAACTTGCAATGCTTTATGGTGCAGAATGTTGGTCATTAAAAGAGAAGCATAATATTAAGCTAAGTGTTGCAGAAATGAGGATGCTCAGGTGGATGAGTGACTTTACTCTTAAAGAAAGGATACGAAATGAGCATATACGTGAAAAGGCTGGAGTAGCTCCTGTGGAAGATAAGATTAGAGAGAGTTGCCTTAGATGGTTTGGTCATATAAAATGACGGCCTTCCGATGACATGGTTAGGAAAATAGATGTATTAGATTTGACTTATATTAAGAAAGGTAGAGGTAGACCTAAAAAGACTTGGTTAGAAAATATTAGAAATAACCTTTCTTTATTAGATTTTAGATAAGAATTTGACCCTTAACATAATACAATGGAGAAAATGATTCATGTAGCCGACCCTACATAGTGGGATAAAGGCTTATTGTTATTGTTATTGTTGTTATATTCATTCTTAATATTTAATACTTCTGAAATATTATATCATCCTTATAAGCTTCAAACCCTTTGTATAAATATTCCTCTTGATAAATGTTTAACTAACTCTTCATTATCAAGGGTCGGGACTCTCTTTATATTTTCTTGATGAAGATTAGACTAATAAACTCTCTAGTATCAAGAGCCAGGAATTCTTTTTCATTTTCCTTGATAAAACTTGGACTAACCAATTCTCCAGCATCATTAATAATCTTTTCTTGCACAGACCATCAAAGTCGGTTCACTTAACCACATGATATGATTTTTCGTAAGATACTTGAATTTTATTCTCATTATTTTAATATCTCATTCTTTGTATTGATGTAAATATTTGTCATTCATTTTATAAAGATGTACATTGTTAATTAAGCATGATTCATATAAAATAATCATTTGTGAATCGAATTATTCAATACTCTTATACTTGAAATTGATGGGAATTAACTTGGAATCATGTAAATTAATGGTCATATGATATGTATGAATCTATAAATGCATTAAGATATTTGATATTCTTGGATGTTTTAAATATTATTTAGATGTCTTTTACAAATGTGGTCTGTGGTAGGTCAAAGAAATCATAAAAGGTGCAAACTTCAGTCATAGGGATCAGTTGACCCTTATTATTAAGTTGGAGTATCTTATTGAAATTATTATGTTCTTCTTGTGGCAAACTTCATTATTTTACTCTTTATGAAGCTTCCACCTTTATAAAAAACGTAAAAATAACACATTCATCAATTTGTAGAACTTCCCCAATTCAATGATCCAATCTTAGTAGAAGTTTTTTTAATCTCAAATTCCTATAATTCAAAGCCCAACGTGATTCTGATGAACTTCTAAATCTGCACAAAACATGGGATATAATTTTTGAAAAAAAAATTTATCTCATCTTTTAAAAAATTTCAGGGTTCTCAATTTCTATATTTTAGCATTACCTTCACCTATCATTTCTTGAAAGCTGTATCTCTTAGTTGCTTTTGGCCATAGAACTTGCTTTGGTTTTTTTTTTTTTTTGTTCTTTGATTTTATAACTTGCTCTTAGAAATTTTAGTGCATATAATACTACAAGTTTAGTGATATAACTTGAATACAATGAGAAGCGTGCAAGGGCCGCTGCACTGACGCTCGGGTGCATTGTTAAATAAGCAAGGGTTCCATATCATGGACGGATGTGGGTAAAGAAGTTAATCCATGAAACAAAAATTAGGATAAGAACTTATAATATAGGTTCCCTTATAGAAAAAATTAACGGAATTAATAGATATTATGATTCATAGGGAGATAAATATTTTATATATTCAGGAAATTAAATAGGTTGAAGTGAAGGCTAAAGAGATTGATATTTTAGAATTTAGACTATGGTATTCAACTAGGAGTCGTAAAAGAAATAATTTAGGTGTGATTAGAAATAAGAGTTTGAAGGATAATGTTGTAGAAATCAATATAATTGGAGATAAAATTATAACTTTAAAAATGATTGTTGATGCTAAAATTATTAATATTATAAGTGCTTATACTCCTTAAATAGGTTTGGATATTTGTTCAAAATTAAAATTTTAGAATGACTTAGAAGAATTAATACAAAGATACTTCTTTAAAAAAAAAATTTATTGAAGGAAATTTAAATGGACATGTTGATAGAGGTGTAGAATATTTTAAAAATATTCATTGTGGCTCTGAGTTTGGAGCGACTAATGAAAGTGGTAGGACTTATTAAATTTTGCTCTAGCTTGTAATTTTATAATTGCTAATACTTTATTTAAGAAAAGATATGAGCATCTCATCACTTTTAAGAATGGGATATGGTAAAACCCAAATTGATTATTTTCTTATAAGAAAAATAAATCTTTTGTATTGCAAAGATTGTAAAGTTATTTCGATTAAAAGTTTATGTACTTTGCATCTTTTATTAGTTTTGAACTTTAAAATGAAGGGGTGAAATAAAAAAAATAAAGTAAAATATTGTTCTAGGATTAGACGGGGGCATTTAAAGAACACTAACAAAATATTTTTTATAGTAAGATTCAATATCTTAATATTTTGTTTGTGCATGAGAGGTAATATTATGTAGGAAAAGTAACTAGTGACATTAAAAATGTTGCAAATGATGTGTTGGAGTATCAAAAAGAAAAAACTCAAATAGTAAAAATAGTTGGCAGTTGAGTCAAAATATGTAAGCAAGATAAAAAATAAGAAATTTTGTTATAAAATTTTGTTTGGATGTAAAAGCTTGGAGAATTAAGAAATATATAAAGAGGCTTGTAAGAAGTCTAAAGAAAGAAATTAGGTTTTAATGATTTATGTAAGGATTTAGTTCAAGTAGAGAGATAGGAGAAGTAAGGATTTAGTTTAACTGAAGGCATTAAGGATGAAGATCAAAAGGATTTAGTTCAAGTGAAGTGCATTAAGGATGAAGATCAAAAAGTGTTTTTATTAGAAAATGATATTCAACAAAGGTGGATGAAATATTTTGATAAGCTTTTCAATGAAGATTGTGAGAATACAATTAACTTTAGTGACCTTAGCACTCTAAATAAAAATAGAGATTTGTATTTTTATCTGCGTATGAGTAAAATCAAAGTTAGAGAGGTTTTAAAGAAAATGAAGTGTGGAAAAGCTATTGGACCTAATGATATTCTAATAGAGGATTGAAAATGTTTAGGAGAGGAAGGAATTTCTTGGCTTAAGAAACTTTTTAATATTATTTTGAAGACTTAAAAAGATGTCAAATGAATGTAGAAGGAGTGTGTTGCTTCCTACCTTTAAGAATAAAGGTGATGCACAAGAGTGTGCAAATTATAGAGGAATTAAGTTAATGTGTCATTCTTTAAAACTATGGGAGAGATTTATTGATCATAAGTTACGATGTGATACTAATGTTTCTCAAAATTAATTTGGATTCATGCCTAATAGGCCTATTATGAAAGTTATACATTTATTAAGTGTTTTGATGGAGAGGTATAGAGAGAATAAGGAGGATCTATATATGATATTTATTGATTTAAAGATATCTTATGATAAAGTTTCCAGCGAGTGCTTTGGAGATATTTAGAAAAAAGAAGGATAATAATGCTTGTATTCAAGTCATTATGGATATGTATGCAAGAGCTGTTACTTGTGTTCAAACACAAGATGGTTTGACCAAGTATTTTTCTATTTCAGTTGGATTACATCAAGGATTAGCTTTAAGCTCATATTTTTTGCCTTAGTCATGGATGTATTTAGTAGACATTTGCAAGAGGATGTACCTTGGTGTATGCTTTTTACTGATGATATTCTTCTTGTTGTTGAGACTAGAAAGGGAGTTGAAAGTAAACTTGAATTATGGAGGTCAATGTTAGAGTCTAAAGGTTTTCGTTTGATTTGGTCTAAAACAGAATATATTGAGTTTAATTTTAGTAGTAATAGATCTAATGGGGAGATTGTAACTTTGTGTGATCAAGTCATTAATATGACTACACATTTTAGATATCTTGGGTCTAATGTTCAAAGTGATAGTGAAATAGATGGGGAAATTATTAGTAGAATTCAAGTTGGATTGTTGAAGTGGAGGAATGCATCGGGCCTATTGTTTGATAGAAAGTACCTCTCAAACTTAAAGGAAAATTCTATAAGATGGTTGTAAGACTTGCAGTGCTTTATGGCGCAGAATGTTTGCCATTAAAAGAGAAACATAAAATTAAGTTAAGTGGTGCAGAGATAAGGGTGCTTAGGTGGATGAGTGGCTTCACTCTTAGAGATAGAATGTGAAATGAGTATATTTGTGAAAAAGTTGGAGTAGCTCTGGTGGCAAATAAGATTATAAAGAGTCGCCTTAGATGCTTTGGTCACATAAAACATCGGCATTCCGATGACCCAGTTAAGAGAGTAAATGTATTAGATTTGGCTTATGTTAGGAAAAGGTTAAGGCAGACCTAAAAAAGACTTGGTTAGAAAATGACAGAACTGGCTTTTTTAATTCGATTTAAATGAGAATTTGACTTTTAACATAACGCACATGGAGAAAAATGATTCATGTAGCCGATCCCACAGTGGGATAAAGCCTTGATGTTGTTGTTGTCGTTATTGCTGCATAGTCTAAAAAAATAAATTGATCTTAATGTTATTTTGATATAAATAGTAAGGATAGTCCTGCCTTCAACTTCTATTGTTGCTATTTTTTTTTTCTTTATTATGGAGCTTTTAGAGTCAAATCCTTTCATCTTTGCCAGAAATGGCGTGAAGACTTTGGGGTTTCAACATTATCAGAAGATTCAGTAAAAATCATATATGCAACAGGCAAAGCTTATGTGCATGACTTCACAGATGTCAAAGGTAGACCGGTGCTGGTGGTAGTGGCATCCAAGCATTTTCCAGAGGTGGGTGGCTTTCTACATTTTTCAAAGAAATGAACTTCTTTCTGTGAGTTACATGGTTAAACTATTGCATAATTTTAATTAATGCCTTTTATATTGGTTGCTAGAAGTTTTGCAAAATTATTTGCATATAATACTTTTAATATCTCATGCTACACTCCATAAGAATGAATATAAATTTATGATTCATCAAGTTGACGCTGGATAAAGCTGGTGATGATTTTATTGCTTCTAGCTTTTTTGAATAACTCAGTACATATAAAACCTGAGGCATCATAACTGTGACAGCAGAGGTACAATCAAAATGATCTGGAGCCTTAGTAAGTGGGGACGAGACGGGGTAAACAAGAGAAACATGGCATTATTTATTCATTTTATTGAGAATCTCTTTTATTAAAGTTTGAATTCAATTTTGTTCATTCTGTTGCCTTGGTAACAAGAAGCATCTTCACAATGTATTTGACGTGAGCCATCATTTTCCAAGCTTCATATATATGTATATATAAACTAAACTTGCATGGCCTGTCCCTCTCAAAAGATAGCATGGCCGTACTTTGATATATATTATCAGCATCTAAACTTGCATGGTCTATTCCTCTCAACAAGTAGCATGGAAGTACTTTGAATGCTCACCATTAGGATTATATGACACAATTTCATGTCTTCCTCGAATCATGTGGGTGAGGGGAGTCAAGAGACGGTGATTTTTGCACTTACTAGTTTGCCTAGTTTTGACCTAGAGGTCATGAGCTCAAAGTTGCAAATGCAGGGTTAAGCAACAAGAGGCATGAGCATTGGATTTGCCCTCTTTTTTATGCTTTAATAGTAGAATATATTATTATTTTTTTACACTAGTATTTTATGCACATCATGACATGAAAGAAGAAATTCATTTGATGTTTAGATATTGTGAAAATCGATCATTTTTATGCTATCTCAAAATTGTTAGTAGATTGGCTTTTCCAACTTGCCGAGAACCATCATTTTCAAAACTATTCAGATGTTTTTTAGTAAAACACTCTCAATAACAGGCCAAACATGCTTTGGCTGCAGAAGCAGGCGGCAGCTGAGAATCAGAAGCTTTGTGTATTCTTGATTGAGAAGGCCTTACACAAGTTTCCATATGGATTGGGAGAAATACTTGTAATAGTTGATCTAAGGGGTTTTCGTACAGAAAATGCAGATATCATGTTTTTTAAGTTTTTGGTAACTCCCTCACCTCACTTCATTTATGTTTTCTCTCTAGTTCTGTTGCAACCTTTGAGATTTCATTTAGTTGAATTGAATTATGGCAGGAATTGTGACTGTTAACTATACCATTTTCTCACATGACGTGAATTTAAACAAGTTGTACTTCCCATGAAGTGCCTCCCATGTTGAAATTGACAAATTGCAAAGAATACGCTTATTTCTATTTACAAGAAACAAGTACTGAAAACTCACAGGATAATATCTACGTGAAATTACACAAATACCCTTGTGAGTAGTTGACACATGCTGAATTGACAAGAACAGTAGTTAATTCTCCAGGAAGAATGGACTTGCATCTGTAATCCTTCCTCAGTAGGTAGTCATGCTAGCTGTAGTAGTTCAATATGGTGCAGATTCATCTACACATTAACTTTTATCATTATGCATAGCCAAAATTTGTCTCTAGCAAATTCTTTCTTCAAAGGTGGCTTAATTTTAATTTTGAATTCATCAATGATTACCTATAAATTGTGTTAGATTACGAAATATTTTTGGTTATCTTCCAGATTGATGCATTCTACTATTACTACCCAAAGAGGCTTGGTCAAGTGCTCTTGGTGGGTGCACCATTTGTATTTCAACCAATTTGGCAGCTTCTTAAGCCATTAATGAAATCTTATGCTGCTTTGGTACGCAATTTTGCCCAGATGTTCAGTTTTACAAATTATTTTATGTTACCTTATTTTGCATATCATAATCCATATACAGCTTAAACAATTTGAATTGCTTATTAGTTACATTTTGATGACCTTAATCACGCGTCAGGTTATTATGATCTAAGTGACACTCTTTCTTGGATGGGTATGCTGTATAGGTTGGCCAGCCTATTTTTTAAAGCAAAATATCATAGTTTAAATTGATATGTGTGCAACAAGGACAATTATCAAGAATTGCCAAAAAAAAGGGAATATACATACAACAATATATAAATGGCATGATAGCCTAGGATACTAA